CAACATTCAGCTACACAGTGATGTTTTTGTTTTATAGCTCACAAAACGTCAGGTTGGGGAGGTTGAGAAAAGCTTTGGTGGTGTACTTTTTAAGGAAACAATTTGGGTGACTACTGATTTCTAGTGTTTGCTAGCAGCTCCAGTTCTAAGCTAAAGAAGCAAAATGTGGACTCCAAACATGTATTGACTGATCGAGTAGAAATGGAAAAATGGCCAAATTTCATTTTTAGCCAGTCTTATTACATACTAAGGCTTATTATTCAGTAACTACAGGTACTTTAATGCAAACTGGTTGACCTATACTTAAGTTACAGAAGTGTGTAATAAAAACTTTGGGCCCATCAGTGGGCCTTGGCCATGTAAAGGGTTAAATTAGAAATGGATTTTCATTCCATACTTGGGTGTGAATCTTTACTGGTCCATTATAACACGCATAGTCTAGTTGGTGAGCAATGAAACAGTGAGGTCTATGGTCATAAACTGTTAACCACAGACCACAGTTGGAGGACACTGCGACAGGACAGGCAACAGCATATCTTTCGCAACTGAAGAAATAGTAGAAATGAACTCACTACTAAAATATTCAAACATTAATTTCTTTACACTTTTCACTGTCTGAAGAGAACCAAAAAGTAATTAACACATAAATTAGCAAGCCCGTAGACATCTGAGGATGTCAGCATATCAGATATTTCCGATTTTATGGGTTGTTTCATAACCCACCTGCTGTTGTGTACAATTTCATGCAGACGTGCCAAAATGACAGCCTCTACAATTCAAACAGACCCCTCTCTTCTCAAATCCAGGACAACAGCCCAAATATATTATGCTCGCCTTTTAGATACAGCAACCCACAATACAGAAAAACAGACAGATATGGATAAATAAACAGATAAACACATAGGTTGACATAGCACACAGTCTACCTATGGGGTTCTCCACTATGTGGTTCTAGGAGCTGTCCAAAGTGCTGAAAGAAAAGTCAAACAAGCCCTGTTCCCTCTCTGACCTGTCAGTAGCTTTTTCCGACAGAGGAGACTGTGAGCACTCTTTTCAGTTTTTCCAGAGGTGACCTACAAACATCCAATGTTCATTTGACATGTTTATATTCACAGACTTGAATAGGCTACTAGAACCATGTGATGATTTCTCCTAAATCTTTCAAGCGGCAACACCAGAATGCTGTGCAGCGTTCGTTTGAATACTGCCATGCTGTTTTTGTTTTCATCTGTGTGTTGAAAAGTGAATTAGTTTTAGATTGGGCACTCTTGGTCCTCAAACGGCAGACAAACTCCAAGAGCGGTTTGTCAGCGATCTAAACACATTGCAGTGGCTTTGATGATAAATACATAACTGTTGCTTTGATAATAATTTACCCTGATGAATCAAGCACATTAGCAGATCACAGGGGGGCACCCAGATTAATTAAATGGCTACCAAGCAGCAGCTCGAACATCAGTCAGGATTCAATGCCTGGAGAGTTTGGGTGTAGCTTACTTTACAACACAAGGTCACTTGACCTGCTACTGTCAAAGCTGTCCTGGCATGTAGGAGGGAGCAATATGGAAAAAAAATATCCTTTTTTTATAACAGTACATTCAAAACTCATTTTTATGAGGTATGAAAAGTTGGAACAGGCACAATGCACCAGTACAAGTAGTGCTGGGCAGTAATGATAAAGCATAATAATAAGATCTTAATGGGATAGTCAATTTGGCAAAAACAACACCACAATAATTGAAGACATTTTTACAATACACTATATATATCACAACATTTAGGTTGAGAAGAACAGAATATGATAATGACTTTTATGTGTTTTACATTCTGCACTAAATAAAACTGAGCAGGCCTAACTGTTCTCTCTTTGTTGCTCAGAAAAGCATCTTGTAGTAAAATGTGGCATAAATTAATCACAAAACGATAAATTATCACCATATTTACCACTTTTACTTTCCAACCATATCACAGTATCGCAGTTTCACATGAGTACTAGCTCTCTATGCTACAAAATGTCTTAAAAACCTGATACAGCTTGTTTTGATTGAATTGTTTGATTCTGTTTCTCTCAAAATGACACTCAAGGGGACCTTACACAGTACTGCAAATGTTAACCAGACAGAAACCACACTTACAGCAAGCTTTTATATATTTGGACTGTTCTTTCAAAACAGTCACCCAGCAAATTATACAGACTGCGGTTAAGTTTTTGTTATATCAATACTGCTACAGCTAAAAATGGACATTGTTGTGTGACACCAATATCAGTATAGACAACAAATAATCCAGCACTAAGTATTAAACATTTCACTTAGGCTATGTTCAGACTGCCAGCCCAAATCTGACTTTTGGCATATCCAGATTGTATTCAGGTTGATTTCTGTTGGTCTTGACAGCAAAAAAAAAAAACACACGAAATCTGATTCAAACCACGTTGGTGGTGGTTTGAAATGCGATTCCAATCCGATTTTTACAAATCGGATTTCAAAGTGTCTTTTGTGTCACTTGTAACATACACAATGATGTCAACTCCAGAGTGACGGAAGTGCTGGGATTCAAGAAGAGCACCAAAGATTCATGCTTATGCCAGAGAGTTCTCAAGAGACCTCCATCTCTCCTGCATTCACGTGTGAAAGCTGCGTCACCAGCGTGGCGACATAGTTACTAATGCCTACAAAGTTACCACAGCAACCCATCTGGATGAGTTGGTGATGTCTGGACACACAAATCTGATCCCATCACTCATAAATAACAGTGCGGACAGTCGTCTCAAAAGAAATCCGATTTTGTCTGCAGTCTGAACATAGTCTTAATGTACAGCACTAACACCCAAGTAAACAGAACCAATTATGGACCCCAACATTGTCAGGATATGAACTTACAACCTCCAAACAATAGACAGTTGCACTTAGGAGACTCTCTGGAACCTTTTTTATGCAACAAGCAGTTGGTCAGTGTTGTGGAAGTACTGACGATATCCAGGATATACTCAGAAAAGCATAGTGTGGCGAAATGAGGTATTTATAACAATACAGTAAAACTCAGCACATCCTTATTTTGTACATATATAATGGTATCACAGCATCAGATGCAATACCATGAGAACTAGCACTCTATGCTATAAACATGTCTAAAAACCTGATTCTTAGAATTAACTGTTTGGTTATGTTTCCCTTGAAACACACTGTGCTGTATAAACCAGACAAAAAACACATTTACAGAAAGGACACTTATAGCAGGACCAGTTATGGACCTGGCATCGTCAGGCTTCAAACTCAAGACCTCCCGACAATGGACAGCTACACTTAGAAGACCCTTCTGAACCTTTTTTTTATATAAAACCTGCAATTCGTCAGCTGCAGAAGCACTGACGATACCCATGATGTGTTCCGAAAGGCGTACCATGATGCAATTAATCTTGAGAATGATAACATATCATTGTATGACCCAACCCTACTGGCACACACTCTCTCTAATCTCCTTCCATTCACGACTGGGACAGTCCTCTTTAGCTTTGAACACATCCGCTGCACCAAACTGCAGGAGCGACAGGTGGACCCCTGTTACACTGCTAAGGCTCAGCAGGCAGCAGTTCAAGGCAACTGCACATCCACCCTCGGTACAGTAATTGCTTTTGTACTCTCTTCCAGCTCCACCAACGATGTGAGTGACTCCTTAGTGACAACTTAGCACGCAGGTTTGCTGAGAACACCACTCTGATCAGCCAGGTACCAAATTAGGAGAGCATTTTATCATTTCTGGTTCTGCCAAGAGCTCGGAAAAAAAAAGATGACAGCCGCCTGAAGACACGGCAGACAACCTACACTGCTACTTTCTGCTACTGCCCCCGCCTACGATGGAGACTTGTTGCTGACTGGAAAAAAGTCATTTCTGCTAATGGATGATCACATCTTCAGCTAAGACTACAACGTATCTTAGCCGTTTTGATAGAAAAAAGCATCTATTCATTCTGTTTCACCACTGAAACGTTCAATAAGTGATAGAAGCAACTGCATCATGTTAGCGTATTTAAATTAATAATAACAATCCTGCTGTTTGGCTGTTTGAAGGGCTTTTATAATCAAATCCTTTAGTTACTGTAGTGCAGAGACCACCATCCTTCTGCCGAGCTAGAGACCAGAGTGGACAGTACCACTTCTTCTGAGCACCATCTGATTCACTGCCTACCATATTAAGGGACATCAAATAAAAAAATGATCTAAAAATGGAAATAAGGCATGTGGCGTCAGCATGCGTTGGGCTTTGTCGCATTGAAACTTCAGCTAAAGCAAAAAAAGGAAAGAGAGAGAGAGAGAGAGAGAGAGAGAGAGAGAGAGAGAGAGAGAGAGAGAGAGAGGGGATGAGAGCTTCTTTTGGGAATATTATACTGCCTTTAAGGCACCAAACGCACAGCCTGGGCTTCTTAAATGTTAGAAAAACGGCATATATTTGAACGTTTGAGCAACAATTGCACTCAAATTGTAAGAAACGCATCTGAATTTTCAGCTACTATGTTTTTTTTGTGCACTTGTTTGAAAGGACGGAAACGGTTGAAACCAGAGTCTCACAGGATTGCTCTCGTCGATCAATCATTTTGGAGGTTTTCTGACAGAAACTGAGCGTTTTTAAAGTGTTTTCTCCCTAATTTTACCCTTATTTTACGTCGTGAGTTCGCCTCACTAGCGTTTACTGAGAGAATTTTTCACCGCTCAAGACGAAGCTGAAGTCGGCTTCTTATTCGCCAGCTGCTTGTTCGAATTTCCCAGTTCCACCTTAAATGGTGCAGCAGTTACATTCTCTGCCTCGGGCGCCTGAATGTAACTGCTGCACCATTTAAGGTGGAACGGGAAAATTCTAACGAGGAGCTGAAGAATAGCAAGCCAACTTCAGCTTATCCGCTCAAGTGAGTGTAAAAGGGGAGAACTAGCCTGAATAAAACAAGATAAAACACAAATTTGCCTCAGGAAAAAAGGACGAAAACGGGAGGCAAAGAGACTCACATGGACGTGATGTTCTTGAACAGGTCCTCGATGTCGCCGCCGCTGCTGCCGTTGGTGCCACCGGTGTCGTGCAGGGCGAGCAGCGGGAAGAAGCTACCGCTGTCCGACTTATTGCAGTGGATCTCGGTGGGCGAGCAGCTGCAGGTCGGTGGGCAGTCCAGCATGGAGCCTAGAGAGGCGGCCGGAGACGCGGCGGAGGAGAGGAGCCACAAAAGCCTGAAAATCCTCAGAGCCGAGCCGAGCCATGATACATCCATGACTTCTGAAGGGGGAGCAGGCGAAAGGGAAAGTTGGCTGGATGCTCTCCTCCGACTGAAAGAAACGTAACAATGATAATAATAATGATACGAATAATAACAATACGTTTTAATAAAATAAAAAAAATCAAAGACTGAAAAGCGCCCGGGCTGCGTAGGAACGCGTAGACACTGTGGACATTGTGCGCGCGCGCCTGTGTGGTGTGTGCGCGCGTGCGTGCGTGCGCGCGCGTGTGGGTATATGGAAGAGGGAGGCGATGGGAAAGCTTTCCAAAAAAGCCAAAAATCCTCTATTTTGTCGTTATTTTAAAAGTATTCCTTTATAAGAGCGAGTCCTTCCAGCAGCACCGTTCCTCTCGCCGCTTCAGTTCCACAGTCCATGACCGGACGAGCTGCGGGAAAAATAAAACGAGAAAAAAAAAAAAACGCCGGAGGTTTACTTGGAGGAGGAGGACGGGCGAAGCCGTTAAGACCCACCTACCGGGCAGAATGAAGAGTGACACCTGCAAGACAAGAGTGGGGGTGGTTTTGAAGCGGAGGGGGTGGGGTGGGTTGGGGGGTATCATGGTTGGGAACTGACGTCGTGAGGATCTAAAGTCACCACGCAGACAGCACAGGAAGGAGGAGGAGGAGGATGGAGGATGGAGAGGAGAAGAAGAGCGAGATTATCTAAGCGTGATATTGAAATGAAATGTTTTCCGCTGGAGCTTCTGGATCGGAGCGGAGACGGGCCAAACCAGTCCACTGGACTTTGACAGTACTTACTCCTACTACATGCACTGGGGATCTGTTTTGTTGAAGGGGAATTCCACCGATTTTCCAAAATTCCCGCATAATTCAGTGGTTGAAGTCATTCGGAGTGGTTTGATGTGATGATTGGTAGAGAAGCCTTCTTTACAGTGGTGGTGAAAAGAACCCCAATGTGTACAATGCAAACATGGCCAGTTTATTTTATATCCAAAACCACCATTTAACCTACATGTGTCTTATTAGTTTTTATTAGTAATGCTGGTGATAGTGGTCGACCTGAAAATAGTAAGTTTTCTTTGGGGACTACTTTGCCTTACAACACCCTTCTTGTATTCTTCCACCTTGAACTGATTAAAATAAATAGACCAAAAACTTTATCACAAAACTACCATGGAACATTCTCTCAGACAGCAGGCAGCGTATTCACAACCATTTGTAATAACTTTCTGTGAGGGAGCTTTTAGAGATGGACGTCTGGGGCCATATTACAGAAACTTCCTCTTATTTAGTCTTCAGATCTGACAGGTATGATTTTTCACAAATTCATATTACAGAAGCAAATCTTTTCCTGAAATAGGAATCTCATCTTATCTTACAGCATCTTATCTCAAGTTAAGAAATCTTAACTTACTCAATCGAAGTCCACAATCAACTGTCATGTATGTTACATAGCAACTGACCACTACCATTACTGATGTAAAAAAGCCAAACAAAAGTAAAGCATTTTAAAAGCCACAGACACTGCAGACACGATCTCCACCATCCCCTCCTATTACCTTTATGTTTTAATGTTGATGAGATAAAACATTACAGTGATAGTGGTGAATAATGAGGAGACAGAGCTGAACGTGTGTCTGTTTATTAGGAGGAATAACGTTAGCGCGCTCAGCTAAAGTGTTTGGGAAATAGAAACTGAAACTGGAGAGTGGTGCCGCTCTGATAAACAGCACGAAGTGCTGACACGATGTTCATAACTTCGAGTTCATCACACATTAGTTATGTTTGGCTTTTTCAGGTAGCTACATCAGTAACAGTAGCTAGCTGCCAGACTAACAAACTTAAATATTTTGATTACTTGTTTTCATTTCAACTGTGCGTGTATGGTCGTTTGCTAGGTAACAGACATAACAGTTGATTGTCAGCTTTGATTGAGTTAGTTAAGATTTCTTCTAAAGTCTGAAATCTTATCTGCTTAGTCATGATGACAACTTTAGTTGGGACTGAATTTAGAACAGAAGCTATTACAGACCAACAGCTCTTAAGTTCATAATCTTATCCTAACCCCACATAAGAAAACAGTATTACACAAACACCTTAACTAGACTAAATCTCCTAAATTCTGTCCTAACTTTAGGATAAACCCCAGAGCTGTCTTACGTTCTGTTTAACCGTCTGTTTCTATTGTTTTGTGCTGTGTCAGGCAGCATAGATCACTATAACCAGCATAATGACACTAACTACATTTATCTACACTGAAAACTGAGCTTTGACTTGTGTGTTTTTTTTTCTAACAGCGTTTTAAACCCCAGACGCTGCGCACACGATCTCCACCGTCCCCTCTTCTTACCTTCGGGTGTTAATGTTGATGATACAATATTCCAGTGATGGTGGTGAATAATGAGGAGACAGAGCTGAACGTGCGTGTGTTTATTAGGAGGAATAACGTTAGCGCGCTCGGCTAAAGCGTTTGGGAAATGAAACTGAAACTGGGGAGCAGCGACGCTCTGATAAACAGCACGAAGCGCTGACATGATATTCTTCACTCTCAGTTTATCGCGCTTTAGTTTGTTTTTTAAGCTATCAGCATCAGTAACAGTACCTAGTTGTCTGGCTAACTAACTGGATTATTCTGATTACGTGTTTACGCTTCAGATGTGCGCATGTGGTTGGTTGCTAGGTAACAGACATGACAGCTGATCGTCAACTTTGATTGAGTAGGTTAATATTTGCAAACTGGAGATGAGATTCCTAAATTAAGATAAGATTTGCTTCTATAATACTAATTTGTGAAAAATCTTATCTTTACCTGTCAGATCTTAAGTTAAGGCAAAAAGATAGGATAGTTTCTGTTCTCTTATCTGGAGTTATTATAAGATTATAAACTTAAGAATTGTTGTTCTATCATAGCTTTTTTCCTAAATTCAGTCCTAACTGAAGCTGTCACAGTGACTAAACTGATATGATTTCAGACTTAAGACGTTTCTGTAATGTCCCTGGTTCCTATCACCACCACTGTGAACAATTCTACAACAAAGCATTTTATGCCAAACCACTCTGAATGACCATTTAATTATGCAGAAAAATTGGAGTTCCCCTTTAAATGCACAAGTTAGGCCTGTTGGATGACAATGAGGCTTTCGAGAAATCATAGTGTGAACACATATGGACCAACCCCTCATGTTTAACTCACTCTGACAGTGTCCAGCTAGGCCTTCATAAACTCTCTAAATGTTAATTTGTTACTGTACACACTTTAAAAAGATGGTTCTTCAGGGGTTCTGTAGTAAAGACAATGGTTATACATAGAACCATTAGTTCTGTATAGAAGCATTTCATGCCTAAAAGGTTATTTGCATGTTAAAATGGTACTTCAGATTTTTTGAAATGGTTCTATATAGAACCAAAAAAGGGTTTTTATGTTGTTACAAGCTTGTCATCATAACAGTAGCAGAACACTTTGTGGTGCTACATAGAACCATTTTCAAAAAGGTTCTATGTAGAACCACATACAACACATTTTCCATCAGTCTGGAGAACTTTTTTACAATGCATAATTTTAACTTTAAATAAGCTGTGCATAGTTTTCTGTGTTCAATCCAATAAACACTGGCTGTTCAGACACTGATGAGCGATTTCATTTCTTTTCTTGTAGTATTGTTTGGTGTCAAGCAACTTGATATCCGTGCGTTACTGCAATTTTATCACGGGAAAGGTGTTCCCTTCCTGTGATAAAATTGCAGTGAGGCACAGCATCAAGTGGCTTGTTGCTTTTTAAAATGGCAGCCAACATAAAATATAATAAAATACAATTTTTCAAAAAAAAAAAAATCAAGTTCATATTAATAATAATTAACATAATAAAAACTATTCCGCCAAGATATGTAGTTCCTTTAGAATATGGTATCGTTGCCAGGCAACCATGGACCTCTGAATGTGGAGAACGTTCAGTCGCCCTCGCTGTATGTTGCAGTGATTTCATGAATATTTAAACTTTCTGTTGTATAACAATGAACATGTGATAACACAGCACTGTTTAATGCAAAAACCATCACTTTGTAAGTACTTTTTGGTCACCAAATTACCAACGCGAGTCCTATTTAGCACCAAAACGGCGGCGCCCCTCTTCTCACACTGGGGCTGCATCTCAAATGTGCAAAATATAGCTAAAAAATAGTCATTTGGAACTCAGACAGATCCATACTTCATAAACGATGCTCTACCTGGTAGAAGGTAGAATGTGTAAACATTCATAGCTAGCACACTATTTAGAGAGTACAGAGCCGTTTGGGATTCAGCCTGAGTTTGACGCTACTTCTGACTGAAACACAAACATTTGAAGCGTGTAATCTATTCAAGTGACATTTTTTTAGGTTTTTATACAGCCGTTTTACAGTGAATCATATCGCAAGTGCTTTAATTCAAGCCTTTGATATTAATGATGGAGTTGTTTCGGCCGCTGGCTATCTTTTAGCCTGTTAGCTAACCTAGCTGACCAGCCTAGTTCTAGTTAAGAACATAAGTCTCCGGTGTCTCAGTTTAAACAAAACGTGTTCTTACTTCATCAATACACTCTGTGGTCCATGCGAGCAGCGTGGGAGTCAAAGATGATTCCAATGACAGCACAAGGGTTTTTTCCGTTTTTTTCCGTGCCGTAGTGCAGTAATACACAATTCAGTTGCTGTGAGGCGGTCATAGGTGTGCCTATACAGTGGATTTTACAACGGCTTCGAACGCGGCTCAGCCAATCAGATTTTAGGACCACAACTATCCATTTTATAATGCCTGGCAGTCTGATCTAGTCAGATCCATTGTGATCTAGTCAGCTTAAGTGTTTTTTTTTTCTTCGACTGGTCCTTAGAACTGTACAATGTACAACAAATGTACAAAAATGATGATTAATACATGAAGCCTATATTGAATGAGTGTCTATGAATGACTATTTCACAACGTTGAATAATTGTAAATGTCAAACAGTCCTTGGGAAGTCTGCACCCCACATGTCTCTGTTCCAGACATTTAAATACCACATTACTTGAATCAGCATGCAAAGGTCTGTTAATCAATATTGCAACAAGATTAAAAATTATCGACCAGACAATATATTGTTCTACAGTTAGCCTAACGTAATAAGCAATGCCAGTTGTTCCAATAGAAGACTCATTCTTAGAGCCTAGTTCTAGCTACTACACCTTTGCTTTTGGCTCACTTAGCACTGACAGGTCTGCTACAGTGCTGCATGTTGTGGTTTCACACTCGGGGAGAGTTTCTGGTTGCATTGCTGAACTGACCTGGATATGCAGGTATCTCCTGCTGCCTGTCAATGCCAGGGTAGAACTGCTGCGGGGAAAGAGCTCACACAGTAACGCAGTGCTGCTATCATGTCAGAACCTTAGTTTCAGTTCTTACTTTTTAA